GCAAGAGAGTCCAGGATGGCCCCACCTTTCCTTCCCTGCTTTTCAGGTCCAANAATCCCCCACAGCAAATCCCACCCGGCACAGGGCAGCCCACTCGGTAGCTCCCCACGATACAGGTCAGAGCAGGAGAAGGGAAAACCCGGACTGAGGGCAAGAGAGTCCAGGATGGCCCCACCTTTCCTTCCCTGCTTTTCAGGTCCAATACACAGACCTGGAGGGGCAGACCCGTCAGCTGGACATCTTACTAATACACAGGTTCCGACTTTGGAGCCTGTACTTCCAACCAGCACGCGGACGATACTGATGCTGCTGGCCCAGGAGCCACACACAGAGCAGGAAAACCTAACTGACCCCAGGGACGAACCAGACCGTAATCAACAGGAACGCGGCCACATTCCTTCCAAGGATGAAGAACACAGTCGTATATGAGTCTTTCAAGCGGTAATGAGGAAAACAGGATGGAATGTACAGCCAGGAGCTCCAGCCAAGGACTGCTGCCGCACAACACCGCGCGTCACCTTCCCCGCCAGCTCACCAGATGTGTGCGGGGCATGGTTGTTAGGAGCTGAAATGTGTCTCCCCGAAGTTCAAACGCTGCACCCCTAAGCCCCAGTAACTCAGGATGTGGTTGATTTCGGAGATATAGCCTTTAAAGAGATAATTATGTTATAAAAGAAGCCATGAGGCTAAGCCCTAGTCCAATCTGACCAATGTCTTTATAAGAAAAGGAGATTAGGCCGCAGGCACACAGAGAGGCCACATGCGGCCCAGAGGGCAGGCAGTGCTCATAAGCCAAGGAGAGGGGGAGGCTTCAGGACAAGCCAACTCCAGCGAGACTTTGATTTTGGTCTTCTAGCCTCCAGGACTGCAAGCAAATAAATGTCTGCTGCTTAGGCCTCAAGTCTGTGATGTTCTGTTATGACAGTCCCAGCAAACTAATATAAAGATTTTGTTTTAGTTTCTTGATACTACTACCAGTAACTTTTCACTGTATGCCTGCTCTGTGAGAAACAGTTGAGTTTCTAGGAGCTGGTACACAGAATGATCAAGACACAGTCCGAGCCCAGGTCCTGCTCCTGCTTAGAGGGAGAAAAAACGAGGATCACCAAACTCCAGTGATGATGAATGCTGGGAATGAGGCAGAACCAAAAGCCTTTACAAACGCCAGAGGAAAACAAAATCATTCCATCTGAAAAGTGGGAGAGAAGAGGGATCAGAAAGAGCTTCATGGTGGGTTTTGATGGGCACGGGAAGGGGAGGACCTGAGACGACAGAGCAGCGCAGGCACAGGCGGGGAGACCCCCCCGAACCCAACACCCAGCGAGGACAGGGACCCGCGAGGCATCTGGCCAGGTGGGCGCAGGGCGGGGGGAGACCAGGAGCTAAAGGCAGATGGAACTATGGAACTGGGAAGGAGCTCAGCGCCTCTGGGGACCGGCAAGGGAGTCTAGACTTTAATTTCTAGAAATGAAGATTAATGAAAATGAGGAAGGTACATTAACAGGCAAAAGAACGGATAAACCGCGTGAACTGTAGAGGATGATAAAGCCCGCATTACTGCCCACCTAAGAAATGTCTCTTCAAGGTCAACACACTTTACACCGTCATCAGCTACTTGCATCATAATCCAGAGCACTTTATCAGCTCTTGCCTCATGACCTTAGATACAAGGAAGAGGTGCCATCCACCCTGACTTTCAAGCTAAGGATAAATGACACAACCCACGAGTGACTCAGGAGGAGAACTGAAGCCTGAGATGCAGCTGGAAGGTCCAAGCCCCAGGATCGTGCAATTATCACCATGGCGTCACCTGCCCAGCTGCAAACACCCAGCATCTCATCAGAGCACCTTTCACCCCTCTTCACCCCACTCAACACGCCTGCCTCTTGACTCTTCACTCATCCCCAGCACGGAAAGCCCCAGACCAGATCACAAAGAAGGGGGCAAAGTCACTCCTTGGTTTCCGAGCATCTGAGAGCTCGGGAAAGAAAAGGCCACAAGGCTGGCTCCGAGTGTGCCAAGAGGCACTGAAGCATCCCGCATCGCCCTTCAGTCCCCCAGACTTCACCCTCCGTCTTCTCTCCAAAGGCCTCTCCTTGGATGTTTAGGATTCAGGGCTTGCAAGGGACAGTACTGACAAGTTGCCAGAGTCAACGACCAGCGCTATGGTGAAGATGATCCTGGGAATCTACTGCCTCACTGGGCTCATCTCTAGGAACAAGCAAATGCAGTGGAAAAACAAGGTCCCAGAATTGAAGATTTGTATTTTAACAGGGGCACACATCGATTAAACCACTGATCTCAAAGCAAGATTACACCTTTATACCCTTGCCACGGCCCCGTGGGTGAAATACACTTCTCCCTCCTTGACTTTCTGTTCAGACTTTCCATCATGATATGAGCAGACGCTTGAAATGTGCTTGCAAGACCAAGTGTGCCTGCTTCTATATTGGCCATGACCACGGATCATGCCTAGGACAACCAGCCAGTCCCAGAGAATGACAGACAGGCCTGAAACCCACCCGCAGCCTGGATCCAAGCCCAGCCAGACAGCCAAGCAGCCAATGTGCACAGGCACGAGGGACAATGCGCGCTGTTTTAAGCCACTGGACTGGAGTGGGTTCTCTGCAGCATGACTGGAACAAGAGCTGATGAAGGAACCAGTCGGGCAGCAAAAATACCAGGAAGAATCACAAACTGAACAGACACGAACTCATCGCAAAGCAATCTCTTTCCCCATCAGTTTCCAAAGAATGTTTTCAAAAGTATCTGAGTAGCCCTTTTCTTCACCTCAGCCCTCAGGCACTGTCTTCCAATAAGAGATGAAGACAGCTCTTAAAACACCAAATGTGAGCAGAAAGCAACTACGGGTTTAAAACACAGACACCACCAGAGAGAGCTAAAAAGGGCTTGCCGGGTCAAAAGAAGGGAAAAATCTGAAACATCATGAGCCCTTCTCATAACTTTCAACACTGAGCACATAACACCTCGTTAGTCTTCTCATCTTAAAAGTTAATAAAAAATAAAAATAGTAAGATTTATGAAAAACAGAGTCGGAACTGGAAGAGGATTTATTTAGCTTCAGGGTCCACAATAACATTTGGAAAAAAAAGCATTAGATAAGGTTCAGGGGTTCACCATGGTGACTCTCAGTGTGGACAGCTCTGCAGGGCTGTTATAAAACCCCCAGCACAGTGACGAGGCGAGACCCCGCAGAAAGGGTGGGCTGGCATCTTCGCCTTCACTGCTGTGCTGCCTCCTATGCTATAAGGCACAATATATACTGATGGCTTAGAAAATAGCGAATGACTTGATTTCTCTTTTCCTTATGTGCAGCGAACTTTAGTCCTCTCTTTCAGGCAAATTTGCTGAGGAAAGCATACATTGTGCCATGAATAGTCCAACGATAGGGCTTCTTAACACTGGGGCTATGACCCCAACACCTCCAAGTGGGCGCGACAGAGACGATGATCAACAGTCTCATCTCTGCCCGTGCTTACTCCCACCCAACTCCAGAAATGCAACTGAAGTCTTTGCTCAGTTTTCCTGCACGAAAACCTCTCGACAAAACAAATGCTGAGAAAGTACCTTAAAATAACATGACGCTATCATCATCATTGGGAGGAAAGAAAAGAAAGTCTGGATGCAGAAGCCTCACTTACTGCATCCCTTTTCACAGCTGGAAAGAATGTCTCTGGGACCACCATGACCCACGGCCACTGAGGACTGCAGCTCAACTCTGCTTGTGAGAAATAAGCGTTGTATCCCCCAGAGCAGGCCAGGCTGCCTACGTGGTACAAGGAAGCTTTACATAAGATGACGCTGACCCCACTCTCAGAGCGAGTAACTCAGTGGCTATTCCAGGCCTTCAAAAGTCCCCGCTTCAACCCTGTGCAAAGGTCACCTCCTCACGTGAAGGCCATCCAAGTCAGGGTTCTGCAAAGACACACAGCTAAACTTCATCATCCTACCAATATTCAAGGGAGGCCTCAGTCCTTTGGGAAAGTTTTACCTCCACAGATCTTTAAAAAACCCCGGATTCAGTAATCATCTCTGAATCGCCCTCTCTCATGTGTAAGGACAGACAGATGCTATCAAAGTGTGAAATTCCAGGCTGAACCTCAAACCTGACGTGGCTGATCCTCCACAGATGACACAAGTTTCCTACCAACTCAGCAAAAAAATGGGACCACAAAGAAATGTGTATTTTGAAGCATAAAGTATGAAACATGGAAGCTATTACTGACATCTTTTCACCATGAATCTTGCCAAAAATGCAGCCCATCATTGCCTAGCCTTTAAGACACACAGGAGAAAAAAATTCCAGAAGGAATTTACTAGTTGAGAAACTTCTGAAGTCTAGCATGCTACACACATACTCTGCAGTATTGCCAAGGGAAGTATTTTTTTTTTTTTGTAATTCATTTTTTTTAACTGGAAGATAAGTACTTTACACTATTGTGATGGTTTTTGCCATGCATCGCCGTCAACATGAACCAGCCACAGGCATCCACGTGTCCCCTCTCTCCTGAACCCCGTTCCCACCTCCCTTTCCACCCCATGTCTCCAGGCTGTCACAGAGCACCAGCTCTGGGGGCCTTGCATCACACATCAAACTCCCACTGGCTATCCATCTTACATTTTTTAAAACATATTGCTTTTATATTGGGTTTAACAAAAGGCAGAAAGACAAAGTGGGAGCTCTTGAATATTAAATGGAATTTAACATCTGTTGAGCCAAAAATGGAAAAAACTCCACAAGTGACAGTGAATGCCTTAAGTACGAGCATCATCTCTAAACACACAGCTTTAATGACTAATAGTTCCCTTTTTTGTTTCTTTAAAATCAACCAGAGTCCCAACCCCACAAAAGTCACTACCCAGTTCCACTGACCTTACCTTAAGCGAAGCACACAACTGCCATATCTGACGGAGAAAGAAAAGAGTTTACCTACTGAAGCAAGCACAGTAAGATTATGACACCTTTTTACAGTCCTTACTTTCAAAATATTTTGGGTTTCGTTCCACTTATTTGTCCATTCCTTGGTCAATTCTTGAACCTAAAAGAAAAAAAACATACATATGTCATTGCTCTATTAAAAAAATTACTATGATTTCCTTTTAGAAAGTTTTCAAACTTTTATAGATTATAAAAGAACGTACTATACTTTTTTAAATTAGACACCAATGCCTCAAAGTACCATCACCAAATATAAATCAAACAAGCTGATCTCACCCTACAACCTACATTACCACAAAGGAAAGAATAGAAAAAAATTTGTCAAGCTGCGTAGAGCTTTACAGCAGTCTTTTTCAAGGTGTACTTAAATAAAAGCTGCTTCCTTGGATATTAACCAAAATTACAAGGTCAAAGATGCCACCATCCCATTAAATGGGGTAATTTTTCCTGATTATACTTTAGGTCCTAAGATATGGTGATTTACTTTACTTTCTAATTAGATGTGATGATTAAATCACCTTGGAAACCATTTTCTTTTAGGAGATAATCTGTTTTTGTAGCTAATTAATAGGGTTTATAAATCTCATTTTATCTTTTTTTTTAAGGTGGCTCTTTAATTGACTCTTAGTAAAGGTAAAAATATCTTTTTGATAATAATCAGCTTCTTTCCAGTCTGCAGTAACTTAAGGGAGAAAATATCCCCCACTGTCGAACACAGCACAGTTGGAAATAGCTTCTCAGTTAATGAAAATACTCTGCTAGTTCCACACAACTTTTTAAATGACCTAAGTGAGTGATTCATTAAGAAGTAAAGCGATACCTGATTGAGAGGTAGAAAAAAAGAATGGAAAATTCTGTCAAAAGCAACATACTTCGGATTAAGAGAGTGACCTCCGAGGGGCTGGGGGGCGCGCGGGGCGCACACCCTCCCGAAGCCCCTCTGCTTCTGGCCTTCGGTGTTCCTGCCGCCTCCCCACCAGCAGCAGGCGCCAGCCCAGGCCACCTGACTGGTCTCCCTGCCAGTAAGTTACCTGTTCAACCAGGTCAAAGTGGAAGCACAGAATACACTGGATTACGTGCTCAACGCTAAGAGGAAGATACTCTCCACAGGCCATTAAGTATCATAAACGGACGTGAGTCAGAAACCTTCAAGAAAGGCCGTGATCATTACTGACAAAAAAGGAGGGACTGGAGTGGCAGTTTATCCGAGAGCAAAACCAAAACACCTCTCACTCACCTTGTTCCTTCAATGGCTAGACATTTTACACCTCAATTTACCGCAAACACCCTGGAGAAGGAAATGGCAACCCACCCCAGCATTCTTGCCTGGAGGACCCCACGGACAGAGGAGCCTGGTGGGCTGCTGTCCTTGAGGTCGCTAAGTTGGACATGGCTGAGCGATTGAACACTTACTGCAAATAACTACAGGAGTTCTAAGGTAGCATTTTTTTAAAAATATCTTCCTTAAAATGAGACAAATAAACTTATTTACAAAACGGAAATAGACTTTTAGAGAAGGAGAATGAACTTAGGATTGCCGGCGGGGGCGAGAGAGGAGGGTGGATAGTTAGGGAGCTTGGGAAGGACATGTGCACACTGCTGTGTTTAAAATGGATAGCCAGAAGGACCTACTGCACAGCACTGGGACTCTGCTCGATGTTATGAGGCAGCCTGGCTGGGCGGGGGTTTGGGGGAGGATGGATACATGTACACGTATGGCCGAGTCCCTTTGCTGTCCACCTGAAACGACCACAACGTTGTTAATCAGCTATACCCCAATACAAAATAAAAGCCTTTAAAAACATATCTTCTTTAACTGGGCTTCCCTGGTAGCTCAGCTGGTAAAGAATATACCTGCAATGCAGGAGACCCCAGTTCAATTCCTGGGTTGGGAAGATCCCCCTGGAGAAGAATAGGCCACCCACTCCAGTATTCTTGGGCTTCCCTGCTGGCTCAGACTGTAAAGAATCTGCCTGCAGTGTGGGAGACCTGGGTTCGATCCCTGGGTTGGAAGGATCCCCTGGAGGAGGGCATGGCAACCCACTCCAGTATTCTTGCCTGGAGAATCCCCACAAACAGAGGAGCCTGGTGGGCTATAGTCCATGGGGTCACAAAGAGTCAGACACAACTGAGTGACTAAGCGCACACACACACCTTCTTTAACTAGTCATTAATGTCAAATCTATCATCCTCTTAGTAAGAGAATAAACAGGACTGAGCCTCTCTACTTTCTTTTTTGCTCACTAGTACTTGTCAGGCAAGGCTGTCCTGCCCGCCCCCCTGGGTCAGCCACACACACCGGCTTTCCTTTCATCACTCAAGTGACGCCAGCCCCATGGGTCACAGGGCTTTTTGTAATGGAAAAGCTTTCAGAGAGGGAATATTCCTACCCCTTCTCTCCCTACAGACGTAGAAGAGACTGGGGTGATGAATTTACTAATTTATAATAATCAGTTAACAGGTTCTCATTGGCAATTTATCTGAGAAACACCAAGTATTTAACAAAGTATGCTTTGGGATTTCACCAACAGGTAAGTTCTCCCTGAAGAAACGTAAGCCAATTAATCCTTTTCCAATTCAATCAAATAATTCCAGCTTTCGAAGAACTGTAAGTATGCCTTGGGTTTCTTTTACCATGAATTTAAACCAAATAATCTTCATTTTTAAAATTCAGGAAAAAAATGCAAAGTCTGACAGCACCTCTCACAATGTGACCAGGTGATAAAATTTAGAGCCAAGTGAATGGCAAACAATTTTAAGAGGTCAGCAAAAGAAGACATGAAAATTTAGAAAATGCTATTAACAAGAGTCATGTCTGTCCCCACATGTATCACGATTCAAATTAAAAGGTTTAAAAAAAAAAATTAAACTGTTTATTGGTTTCTATTAACTTGCCAGGTATTCCTGAAAACTATCAGTAAGAAATAATTTAAGACTATATCCAGACATATCAAGGGTTTCCCTGGTGGCTCAGATGGTGAAGACTCTGCCTGCAATGCAGGAGACCTGGGTTCAATCCCTAGGTCAGGAAAATGCCCTGAAGAAAGAATGGTCAGGAAGACGCCCTGAAGAAAGCATCCTTGCCTGGAGAATTTTATGGACAGAGGAGCCAGCGGGCTAAGATAGTCCACAGGATAGCAAAGAGTTGGATACGACTGAGCGATGACAGACACATCAAAGTCCTCAAAATTAAAATTTGAAGTACCAAAATATAAAACGTCAAGAGAAAAATAGGGATTAAGAAACTAACGTTTTCACTAATGCTATTATCAGCAAATTAATCAGCATAATTATCCATAATTATCCAGAACAAGTTCCTAACTACACTGTGATTTTTATTTCTTCAATATTGTGTATTCTTGAAAGAGCTTTACCAACAGAATCCTACTTTCTTTCTCAATCTGCTTTAACCATTTGGCACAGTGAACAAAATCCACTCTGAAAACATTATTAATACCTGTTTCTCTTTTCACAGAAGGTCTTTTTCTTTTAAAAAGGAAAAAAAAAAAAAGACAGTATAGAAGCAGGTCATCCATGAAACTAGTTTTCAGAAAGCACCAGCACATAATACTGCCTTCAGCCCAGGACACTCTCTCTTCCAACCTCAAATCCCACCTTGCTCAAGAGCAGCTAAGCACCTTCCCAGAGTATTCAGGGATTCCCTAAGTGCTGCAATTCCCACTAATAAGCAAAAGGATGACCAAAACACCCCAAGGTGAGGCTGTGGGGGCCAGCATGTGAACACAGCCTCCCTCTCCGGAAGGTCCACCAGCCTCACCGCCTCGCACAGTGGCCCAGTCTCAGCTGCATTCAACCCCTGACTACCAGACAAACCCATCTATTTAGTCACAGAGGACACGGGAGATACACCGGAAGTCAACGAGTGTGGGTCTTTAAAGCTCGGGCGGGAGTGTTAACTGTCATGAAGAGAGAAACTGAGTCTCAGACAGCAAGTCCCGGGCTGCCCAAGAAGTTTGTTTGGGTTTTCCTGTAACATCTTGTGGAAAAACCTGAACAAACTTACTGGCCAACCCAATACTAAAAAAGAATCCACTTAAAATAGTGAAACTCATGATTAAAAAAATAAAACAAAAACAAGTGAAGGTGTCACTTACTCTGGCTTCGTTCTGCTGAAGCTTCTCCTCCATACTTAAGGCTGTGGGGGAGTCCAAGAGGGCAATCTGCAATCAAACCACAAAAAGCAGCGGCGATGAGTGTACACCGATAATCCAGAGGAAGGGTCTGCCCTGACACTGTAAATCATCAAAAACTGCCACATAAACTATTAAATAGAGGTGAAAAGCATTTATTTTCCCACACCTCCTCAAAAGTGTTAGTCACCACAAAATCTTTAATCCGCAGGGTACATGCCTCGTAATATTCAAAAAACCACAGCATCCTGGGAAAACTACATTTGCAACATAAATCAGCAAAGACAAGGAGAAAGACAAACACGTAACTGGCTGACATGTTATCAAAATCAAACGCAGTCTAAACCCCCAGATCCTGAAGAACTCATCCGTTTTCAATGTATACAAAGGACAGTCCAAAAGCGGGGTTATCCAACCAGAGGCTTCTGAGACTCATCCACAGTGACACGTGCAAATGACCCTCCTTTACCACCCACCACTGCTGGATCACACCCTGTCACAGTAAGGCTCGGCCACAGTCTGCATGTCCATTTCCTTTTCTGTGATGCAAAGATGGGTGTGAGAGTGATAAACCCCAAAATCGGGTTCACCCTGGGGGGACGAGGCAAGGCAGGGACGGGAGAGGGAGACCCAGCCAGGCAGAGCGCACCCAGGCTTTGACTGCATTCGTAACCCACAACCCGAGAGGCAGGAACGCAGGGTCCCGGACGACGTTACCGGAAAGGAAAACAGAAGGGGGTCTCCCTCCCTCTCCCCCTCTCCAGGCCATGTGCAACCTGTCTCACCCATTCTGCTACATAACTGTGCAGTTATTCTGGTCATATGCAAGTGCGTTTGTGTTGTTTTTCAAACATAAACAGCATGAACGCTATTCTGAATATTGCCTTTTTCATCTCACAATCTATCTTGGGAAAAATTCAGTACAAATAAATCTATTTTATTCTTTGTAACAACTCCAGTTTCACTGTACAGCACTCCATTGTGCGGTTATTCTACAATTTATGTCCACAGTTTCCTCTTAATGGACTGGTAGTTTTTCCTCATCTTCTGCTTTACCAGTGATGCTACAGTGCCTATCTTATACCAGCCGCCTATAGTATGCATAGCAGTATCAACAGAATAAATTCCCAGAAGGGAATGTGTTAATCATCTACACGCATGACTTTTTTCATTGTCTCTCCTCCATGGAGGCTATCACATTTCCTTGACTACCTGGTCTGCTTTTGGCCACCTTCACAAACACGCTATCACCTAGCTTTACTGTGACCCTCCCGGAGATGCTGTCTACCTTGAAAGTTTACACGTAATGACACTTTTATTATCCAGCTATTATTCAAAGTTTACCTGCACCAGCATGTGAACACAGCCTCCCTCTCCGGAAGGTCCACCAGCCTCACCGCCTCGCACAGTGGCCCAGTCTCAGCTGCATTCAACCCCTGACTACCAGACAAACCCATCTATTTAGTCACAGAGGACACGGGAGATACACCGGAAGTCAACGAGTGTGGGTCTTTAAAGCTCGGGCGGGAGTGTTAACTGTCATGAAGAGAGAAACTGAGTCTCAGACAGCAAGTCCCGGGCTGCCCAAGAAGTTTGTTTGGGTTTTCCTGTAACATCTTGTGGAAAAACCTGAACAAACTTACTGGCCAACCCAATACTAAAAAAGAATCCACTTAAAATAGTGAAACTCATGATTAAAAAAATAAAACAAAAACAAGTGAAGGTGTCACTTACTCTGGCTTCGTTCTGCTGAAGCTTCTCCTCCATACTTAAGGCTGTGGGGGAGTCCAAGAGGGCAATCTGCAATCAAACCACAAAAAGCAGCGGCGATGAGTGTACACCGATAATCCAGAGGAAGGGTCTGCCCTGACACTGTAAATCATCAAAAACTGCCACATAAACTATTAAATAGAGGTGAAAAGCATTTATTTTCCCACACCTCCTCAAAAGTGTTAGTCACCACAAAATCTTTAATCCGCAGGGTACATGCCTCGTAATATTCAAAAAACCACAGCATCCTGGGAAAACTACATTTGCAACATAAATCAGCAAAGACAAGGAGAAAGACAAACACGTAACTGGCTGACATGTTATCAAAATCAAACGCAGTCTAAACCCCCAGATCCTGAAGAACTCATCCGTTTTCAACGTATACAAAGGACAGTCCAAAAGCGGGGTTATCCAACCAGAGGCTTCTGAGACTCATCCACACTGACACGTGCAAATGACCCTCCTTTACCACCCACCACTGCTGGATCACACCCTGTCACAGTAAGGCTCGGCCACAGTCTGCATGTCCATTTCCTTTTCTGTGATGCAAAGATGGGTGTGAGAGTGATAAACCCCAAAATCGGGTTCACCCTGGGGGGACGAGGCAAGGCAGGGACGGGAGAGGGAGACCCAGCCAGGCAGAGCGCACCCAGGCTTTGACTGCATTCGTAACCCACAACCCGAGAGGCAGGAACGCAGGGTCCCGGACGACGTTACCGGAAAGGAAAACAGAAGGGGGTCTCCCTCCCTCTCCCCCTCTCCAGGCCATGTGCAACCTGTCTCACCCATTCTGCTACATAACTGTGCAGTTATTCTGGTCATATGCAAGTGCGTTTGTGTTGTTTTTCAAACATAAACAGCATGAACGCTATTCTGAATATTGCCTTTTTCATCTCACAATCTATCTTGGGAAAAATTCAGTACAAATAAATCTATTTTATTCTTTGTAACAACTCCAGTTTCACTGTACAGCACTCCATAGTGTGGTTATTCTACAATTTATGTCCACAGTTTCCTCTTAATGGACTGGTAGTTTTTCCTCATCTTCTGCTTTACCAGTGATGCTACAGTGCCTATCTTATACCAGCCGCCTATAGTATGCATAGCAGTATCAACAGAATAAATTCCCAGAAGGGAATGTGTTAATCATCTACACGCATGACTTTTTTCATTGTCTCTCCTCCATGGAGGCTATCACATTTCCTTGACTACCTGGTCTGCTTTTGGCCACCTTCACAAACACGCTATCACCTAGCTTTACTGTGACCCTCCCGGAGATGCTGTCTACCTTGAAAGTTTACACGTAATGACACTTTTATTATCCAGCTATTATTCAAAGTTTACCTGCGGCTTCAGCTACACAAATGAGAAATCCTTTCTCATTCCATCTTCTCTAACTCATTGCCTTCTTTGCTTCATGGACTGCTCCTACCTATTTCTATGTTGTTAATTTTCCTGCTATCTTCAGACCCATTTAAGAGAGAAAAGTTAATGGACATTTTCTCTCTGCCAAACTCAAAGCAGAAGTCTGAAAAGATGCTTTAAATATAACAAAAGAGAACATGTGAAAAGAGAAGATATCCAAACGCTTGACTTCATTAATCATTGGAGACACAGAAACCACAATCATTCTTTGATACCACGATGCCCCATCAGAATGGTCTATGATGAAAAAATAGGTAATACCAGCTATTGGCAAGGACCTGATGCAACGAGAACTGGCACGTTCATATATTAATGGTGGGATATAAGGTGGTATAAAAACCTTTAAAAATTATTTGGCAGTTATCTACTAAAACCAAACATTATGTACCCCTTCTGACACATATTCCACTCTTAGGTATAAACTTAACAGAAATGAAGCTGGATGTTCACAAAAAGACACACAGAAGACAGTCCACAGCAGCAACAATAGCAGCAAAGAGAAAATCTCCAAAGCGCATCAAACAGAACGGGTGAGCGGGCGCACACTCGCATGATGGAACACAGCACAGCGATGATCATACGTGGATCTGAAACCACACGTCCCACCGTGCATGAATCTCACAAGGCCTCAGATGCATGCTGCCCACATCATCCGGTGCCCAGCACACTCCCGCCAGCCCCGTGAGGCCCCTCAGTCTGTCCTCTCACTTTCACTTTTCCCCTCGTCCGTCAGTCCTGCTGCCTGCACTCCGTCACCTCCCCAGCCTGTACCACAGGCCAGCACCCTTGCATGTCTGGAACTTTATGAAACGGGTTTTGTAGGTCTATGTTTTGAAATTCCATAAATTTGATCTTATATAAAAGCAAGAACAAGAGTATTTACTACATGATTACATTTATATAAAGAACAAAATGAGGCAAAACTAAAAACTAACCCTGCCTGAAGAAGTCAGGATAGAGGTTATCCTTGAGGGAAGGGCAGGCGGGTCTAGGAGAGGAATGTGAAGAGAGTTTCCAGGGCACTGGGGAACGTTCTGTTTCTTGATAGAATGCAGGTCAGATGGGTGAATACAGCTTATGAAAATTCACAGATACATACACTCAGAATGGGTGTCATTCTTCAATGGAGAGTTCACATGGATGTATATATGCATATATACCACTACATATTTGTCTATAAATCTATGCAGCAGGAGAAGCAGATACGTATCAGAATCTTTTGCTGTATTTAACTATGCTTTTGAAACTCATATACGTGGCATTTTGCGTTGGCAAATAATTAAACATAAAATTATTAAAAGCAGGAGGTTTTATCTGGCTATACTTCAACAACCCAGAAATGGAGCTCTGACTTGAGCAGCATTTTCAATGAACCACAGCAGCATCTGGAACAGGATACTGTGGGAAAACAAGAATGTCACCAAAAAATTTATACATAGATTTTTCTAATGAGCGCTTAAGAACCCCTGCTTATTTTATTGAGCATCACAAATTTAATTAATTTTGGATAAGCTTGTATTGTCTCACAACAATTTATAGCTTCACGGTACAATAAATTATTTTAAATTGGACTCATTTTTATTGTAATGTATTGTTTATCAGAGTTTATCGCCACTGTATCCTAAAATACACAACAATCTTTTCCATCCTCACCCCCAAAACTACAGTAACTAAAATAACCTTTTAATGACTGTAGTGGTCTTTGGCCGTGAAAGAGAAAGAGAACCGAAGATCACAAAGTATAAGGCAACTGGCATATACGACACCTCTGAGACATTCCTCAGACAGAATCTGCAAACGTTTGAATTAAGTTTTTCTGCTGGTGTGATAAGGCTCCTTTCAAGGACTTCCTCAGTTTAATGTTTAACAGGCTGATCTCTTTTCCTTCATTCTCATTACTCAGTAAATGTTAACTACAAAAATTTTCCAAGTCCTTCCCTTCACACACAGTAGTCTGGGTAACCCTATCAAACCACCTTTATATATTTACCTCAGACAAATATTTTTAAAACATTGAAAAAAGATCCCAATAACAGAGTACATAAGTGAAAATGACAGCTGTGGCTGGCGTCACCAGTGATTCGAGCCTGGTAACACCACGAGCTGCGGGACCCGTCGTGCTGACGGCTTCCACGCACACACAGGGAAGTCCACGTCGGAAAGCGGCACTGGGACTCCCCTGGTGGTCCCGGGGTTAAGACTCTGAGCTGCCAATGCGGGGTGCATGGGTTCGATCCCTGGTCAAGGTGCTAATCCCAAACGTGGAGCAGGGCAGCCAAAAGATTAAAAAAAAGAAAGAGTACAATTATGTGGAGCTATTTTTAGGTGCAGAGATCAGCTCCCAGCCCACTCCAGTCCCCTAGTTTAGAGAACAGCAACTCTAGGGGCTTTCAGGATGCAGGAAACTCTGTGAGGCTCTTTGCCTGTTGAGTCTCACGAGTCAAACCATCAAGGGATGTCAAGGGCTTCAAGGGCCTCATGCTGCTGGAGGGAAAGCTGCTCTAAAGACAGCTCTGTGCATTTAAAGAAAAGCAGGGTTCTTTGCTTTTTTTAATGATACACTTCAGACATCCATTAGTGGGTTAGGAAAATGGGAAGAAATGTTGGGGGTTGTTTTTCTTGGCTGTATCATGAGGGATATAGGATCTGAATTCCCCAACCAGGGACCAAACCCATGCCCCCTGCTTTGGAAGCACAGTCTCAATTACTCAACCACCAGGGAAATCCCTCTTCATATCTAACCCCACTTTAACTCGAGTGTTTTAAAAAGTGATCCTGACTTTCTCTCATGACAGTGTCTAAACCAACCAGCATGGATCACACTGTGATCACAGAAGCAGCTTGGCACACGCACCATGCAGAAGACTACAGTGAAAAGGACAAGGCTCCTTCACAAAAACCCCGAGGGATCCTGAAGGGAGGCTATTTCCGCCATCATGTGGGGGCCCAGGCATATCACCTCCGCCAGGCCACAGGGATGTTTCGGGACCCCGCATCACTCTAGCCACTGCTGTAAGGGGAAGTACCAAACAGAGACTCAGAAAGCGGCTCAAATGAGTCTCTCCTTCTGTTAAAATACATCTTCAAGTCAAAAAATGCTTCGGTAGAATTTTAAACATTGCTCCAAGCACCTCGATTTCCTTCCACTAATGGAGATTTTGCTGCTAATCCTACTGCATGCTAAATTTCCATCCATAATTGATAACTATTAGGTAGTTAATCATCTCGGGTTTAGTGGATAAAATCTTAAGCACAGAGCATATAATGAATTCAAAGGCCAACAGGACGGTGATGTTAAGGAGAGACCGGGCTAACTCACTCAAAGCTTTACTTAGCACTTATTTACTCAAATCAATACGACTCTCGAGATGAGTGTCTCATTAAGATCTAGAAATAGATGCCATTACTCAAAGAAAATTACCCCTAAGTCTCAGAAAAGAGCCAACCTGATTCCCCTGGGCAAGCAGCGTCTTCAGCCTGGCTATTTCGGCTCGCAGTTCACGGATGAGCTTGACGTTGGCGTCCTCATTAATGGTAGGCTTGTTGATGATGTTTTTGGCTCTATTTGCATAGCGAAGAGTACTTAGGGTTTCTCCGTAATTGACATCAGCAGGTGAAATGGCTGTGAAGAATGAATTCAAAAAATAATTTATCCAGCACTCTGTTTCATTTAACACAAAGTTGGTTTGTAATTTAAAAGTCAGATTAACCCCAGGTCGCTGGATAGACTAAATATTCATTACTGCAGTCATGAATATTACAAATTATCTGGGACTCATAGGAAAGGTGCTCACTATGCCAAATTAAATGCCATTTCACTCTTCTTCAGTTTAGAATCAGCCATCTAACCAAATCTAAAGCAAGATTGGAAACACTCCATTGCAGCTTAGGGAGTTTCCTCTGTTGAACATATAAGTAGAGGATTTCAAGACTATTTACACTTCTCAAGATAAAGCAGAAATTTAAATCCTTTTAAAAGAGTTCTGGGAAAACCTACCACCTATGAAAACCCAGAGTGTGATAACTTTTGTAAAGAGTCTGTAGATCAGCTAATGCTCTTCCTCCCAAAGCTTTGGTTGATCACATCCCCACCTCAACCCCAACAAACTTTAGAGCTAAAATAACTACACAATTGCATCTGGGGTGCACACCCCTGGGAAGACCCCTGGCCTCCACAGGGACTGCATGGCTTGGGCAGGAGGAGATGTGGAGACAAGAAAAGAGAGTGGGGGTGGAGCTGGAAGGGAAATTCTCAATAGTTATCCCCCCCGGCACATTTTCCCCTCTGTTCTGCTTCTTCTTGTTAATTAGCGAAAATATAGACGTGGATTATCATCATATTTACCACACTTTTCCCCCTCAATTCTTAAATTCCTTATTTTCTGCTTTTAAATAGAAAAACAAAGTTGGGTTATTTCTAGCTTATGTCTAAAGTTGGCATGAGTTGGCAGAGTTGGAAGTTTCTGTCCTATACTTTAAGCACCACTGAGGGTCACCCTGCACGGACGTCAGTTTGCATAATCAAGAAAACGGCAAGCTAATGTAACCAGGAAGAGGGGGAAAGAGGCAATAATACCATACTGCAGACTGGATCACAGTATGTATTTTTCTTCAAAATATAAAGTTTCTTTTTCTTTTTTAAATAAAGAGGTGCTACTGCCTAATGAAATACTTTAAACTTAAAATAGTCACAATCAGTTCATATGAAACACTATACGTTGAGAAGAAGAAAAAAAACAAAACTTCTTACTGGCTATCATGATTGTTTTAGAGTTTCCACCGAGGCTGTCTTTCAACAGCCAAGTCAAAACAGAATCCCTGTAAGGCACGAAAACTTGCTTCTTCTTTACAAGAGGGTTTGCTGCGTCCTGAGATAAATCAGCTGCAGGGAGAAAGAAAAGGTGGGGGAAGGCAAAGACAATTATTAAAGGTTTTTTTTTTTTTTCTTCTTGAACTTGGCTTCAAAAAACCTTGCAGCTGTTACTCTAGTTTGTAAAACAAACATTAAACCTAAGCTCTTCACGCCTCTGTGGAGCACCGGGAAGAGGCAGGAGACGAGGGTGAACCTACCTAAGGCAGAAATGACGTTGCCCAGCGTCACGAGGGACTTGTTGATGTTGCCCCCTTCCTTCAGCCGGGCCCCCGTGGCGCCAGTGGCGTCCGCCCGCTCGCTGCCCGCGAGGTCGACCAAGTGGATCTTACTCACGGTTTCAGACGGCATTTCAGAATCAAATTTTGCCTATGGTGAAATATAAATGCAAAATGGAAGAGGTACAAAGAATGCCAATGTTTATATAACATTGTGTGTTTGTTTTTCTCCTGTGTCATTCATGTTTATTAACCTTCTCTCCCCAACTAGATTATTATTTAACAGAAACAAAATCTTTTACATCCTCATTGATAACTAGCATTGGACTGGCAACATGTTTAGCAATCAAATTATTTTTGGTTGACTAAGTTTTTTTTAACTTTGTTATTTTATATCAGAATACAGTCAATGAACAATGTTGTGATAATTTCCGGTGCACATCAAAGCGACTCAGCCATACACACACATGGCTCCGTTCTCCCCCAAGCTCCCCTCCCATCCAGGGTGCCACACATATTTATGTGTTTATAACAAGTTCAAGGGCTTCCCTCATAGCTCAGTCGGTAAAGAAACTGCCTATAATGCAGGAGACCTGGGTTTGATCCCTGGGTCGGGAAGATCCGCTGGAGAAGAAAATGGCAACCCACTCCAGCATTCTTGCCTGGATGATCTCACAGACAGAGGAGGTTGGCAGGCTACTGTCCACGGGGTCACAAGAGTCAGACACGACTTAGCGACTAAACCACCAATACAAGTTCTAATGATCTCCCACTCCTCACTGTGATCTCTCAGGGTAGATTTTTTTCTTAACTTTGTTTTTTCATTGGGCTTCTTCCTGATTACAATAATTATACTGGATACAATAGAAGCCGACCATATGTGAGCCTTAGACCTTCTGAAGAACCGCGAATTCCATTATCCAAATCACTCAGTCATTCAACAAGGGCTGAGTCTGACCCTGGAAGAGAAGGAAGCTAGACCCTGAGGGGCACTCACTCCATAAAGAAAAATATAAGTAAACAAATAATTAGTTTTGCTCTCACCTAAAATCTTGAACAAGACAAGCATAATGGTTTTCCAAAATATGATAAACATAGACAATTATGTGAAAGATCATCCAACCGTTATCTGAAGTTAACATACAATTTGTTTCACAATTATAAAATAGTGAAAATCTTAAATACTGTATTCTTTGATTCTGAATTTTACCAAAATTTTACTTTCCCAAGACTTTTAACCTATATTTTACAGTCTGAACCAAAATGTCACGAAGAAATTACTGCATTTTGATACAAAAGCAAGCCTCTTAGAAACTAGGGATGGCCACATCCTAATCCACATTAACCAGAAAACAGGAGAAAAACCAGTAAACGTAATAAAAGATACACATTTCTGGAGAATTTATCAGGAATTATTCCAATTGACCTTAGGGAATTTTTTCATCTTCTTTGCTCTCTGATCCCCCTCATGAATTACGCTAAGTCTTTCTACCTGACATGTTCAATGGTTAATACAGGCCAGACTCCCCCAAACTCCTAATAATGTGCTGAGCGCTGAGAGGACCCGACACTTTTAGGCTCATTGGTTTCACTGGCCTCGGTGTTAACGTATTTCCCCCGAGTCATTTTCACGTGTGTTCTAAACACTCTCCACCTCCAGATCAGAACATTAATATGTAAAAACATCCCTTGTCCTTTAATATCATTTTAATAACCACAATTAGCATTGTGGGGTGAGTTCCATGGAGCCATAAAGGACCACCCCCCCTTAGACCACTCAAGGTGATGAGTTCCTCACGCTGGCCTCCAGCTGCTCTCTCTGGCAACCCATTATCTACCCCAGAGCCTGCAACAACGAAAACTCTGGCTTAACTAAACACACAGCACCTTTTTTTATGTGGAGAACAGGGAAGAAGCCTGCTAAATGTGTCTTAGGGGTCTTCATCAGGCTACATCTCAAATGAGCGTGTTTGTAACTGCAGAGAAACCATCACACAGCACGTGTTCAAGTCTAAAGAACAAGAAAACAGCAGTGGGGAGCCTCTGAGGCCCCCGGCTCAGCATGGACCAGTCTGCAGCCGGCGCTGATGAGCACGTGAAGAGCTCGGGGCCGGGCCGCCGGCCCACGACTGCCCTCACCTGCGTGAACTTGATGGTGAAGATGGCGTGAGACCGGCTGCTGACGTCATTCATCCCCGTGGCGGCGGTGGTCCGGTTGATGTTTCCTGCGTCCATAAGCTCTTCAACATCACCATAATTCTGCACTAAATGTTTGGATAAATCTGAAAAAAAAAGAGGAGGGTGAAGAACTCTCCCCAGTAGATAGTAGAGGCAAGAAGAGAGGAGGTACCTCTGCAAAATAATACACGACTGTACAATCTGTGCGCGTCCCAAGTGGCACAGCGGTAAAAATCCGTTCGCCAATGCAGGAGAGGAGGGTTCGATTCCTGGGTGCGGAAGCTCCCCTGGAGAAGGAAATGGTAACCTACTCCATAGTTCTTGCCTGGGAAATGCCATAGACAGAGGAGCCTGGCAGGCTACAGTCCATGGGGTCACAAATAGTCGGACACGACTGAGCGCACATGCATTTGCACCTGAACCTGTGGTGGTTTCTAACGCAGTCTCAGGAGCTAACTGCCTCGGGTCAAGTCCCAGCTCGGTGGCTGACCAGTAGACTCACGAGGTTGTGAAGAAGTCATTTAACTTCATTGAGCCTCGGTCACCTCTCCTGATACGGCATGCCTATCGCATAGGGTATTCAGGATAACTGTGAAATATCACACAGTCAACACCATTAGCCCTAATCACAGTCAGGGAAAATGCAAACACTACCTCCGTGCAAAACATGATCACCTTCTTTAAAATCCTTTTTAAAGAAACTCTTCATTCATTTTTTTTGAGAACATTCATATGCTTTTATAGTCAAAAACTACAAAAGGTACACTGTTCAAGGGTCTTTCCCCTCCACCATCTGATAACCTACCCCACACTTTCCTGTCAAGCAACCCAACATTCTTATTTTCCCAAAACTTTCTAGAAATAAGCCATATGTATACAGGACATTACATAAATATTAAACCATCTTTTTCCTCCTTTTACACATGGTAGCATACCATACACATTGTTTTGCATCTTCCTTTTTTCTGTGTAATAATACATTGAAGAATTTTGTGTATCAAAGTGATTCCTCATTCATTTTTATGGCTGCAGGGCACGAGACTGTACTAGCACTAGACTGTATGTATGTACCATAATCAATTTAATAGTCTCCTATTGAGATGACAGACATTGTTTTGAGTGTTTGCTTTCAATACAAGCAATGCTGCTACAAATAATCTTGTACACAGGTTTTTATGAATATGTGAATAATTCTGCAAGACAAATTCTTTTTTTTTTTTTTCAGATAAAATATTATAGGTTTATTTAAAACTTAATTCTCACCTTGAGTACGCAAAATACAAACTCCACAAAATGTTCATTTTTTTACTTTGTAGTTTACAAATATACAAAATAGAAGTTTCCTTAAATTTATATTACATATTTATTAAGGCTAGGAGCTATATAGAAAAAAACATTTGTTCTGCTTAAGGCATACTTGGGAATAAACTATTGTACAAATTATTGCACATCTGAAACCACAATACATAACAGACTATATAAAAGATTAAAGTAAACCAGGTGTATTTACCTGACTTAGGTCATAAATTTAGATCAGAAGACAAAAAGAGATTTTCCTTGTCAAAGTAAGCAGCAGTTTGAGAACTTGGGCCTCATTTGGTACCTTTAGAACCAAGACTTACCAAGAACCATTGTTTAGGCTATTAAACACCATTTTCTGTACCTGAATTTCCTCCTCTTCTTCTAAGAGCGTCATAATGACTTTTAGAAGGCAAACAAAATACAATGTGATCTTTATGCTTATATTGCATCAAAAACAATTCAAGGGGTTCTGGTCTTCCCTTCCCCCAACTTTCAGATCTAATTTATACCCTGATAGCCACAACTTCCAGTCACCCCCTTGATGTTTTGTAAGTCCAGAAATATATATATCCAAGTTGGATTTAGAATTGGAACGCTAGAAGATTCAGTCACAGACCCCATCTGTTTTTTCATTTTGTGTTTTTGAGTTTATCTTTTGGTTTCCTGTGTCTCCTGATTATCCATTCACAAGTTTACTCCTTGGGAACTTCACCATGACTGTAGTGCTCTCTAGCTGGGTTCCTCCCCTCACCAGGAAGACAGTGGGAAAGGTAAAAAAGACTGAATTCTCTTCTGGCAGTGTGGGTCACATCCACTGTTTGGGGATTTAAAAGTGCCTCTTTGTGTCTAAGGGAGGTGGTCCAACCTGGAGAATGCCCGGTCGCGCTTCCAGCACTGCCCGGGATGTCTGCCATAGTGCCTGGTCAGTTCATCTGAGCGGGCAAACTTCCACCCTCGGCCATCCCAGTCACCATGGGAAGGTTTCGAACCTGTGTGCACCTGTGTGGGGTACGCAGGTGTGCCTTGAGATGAGAACTCTCCCTGCAGGTTTAGCCGCAGCCTGCATAATCACAAGTGTGAGAGGCCGTCCTTTCCCGGGGCCACGACATCCTCCTCCTCTTTGGCTTGGGATCTTCCGGCCTGCAGGAACCAGCTGGCACGAGCGCTTGGTCATGGCGCGGTGGGACGTGCGTCTGCATCTGGTCCGGCAGGCAGGGAGGGTGGTTGGGCCCAGGGTGGGGATGGAAGCCGGGGGGAGCTGCAGGGCAGGATGACAGTCTGGGCTGCTCAGCAGTTCCTCGGCACCAGGGTCGGGGTAGCCCCGCTGGGGAGCTGCCGCCCCAGGGGAAAGTCGTGCGCAGGCAGCCGGTGGTCACTGCTGAGCCGAGGTCCAGTGCCCAAGCGGGCCTCGAGGAACCGACCGATGGTGCAAGAGGAGACAGCCTCCCGCCTGATCTTCGGGCACACGCGCGGCGTCCCGCCGCTGTAGGGCCCACCACCACCGAGTGGCTGCCGTCCTGGCCGCCTGTGCGAACACCGATGACCGACGGGTTGCCGTACTGGCTGCCAGGGGCACTCAGGCGCCTTCAACACAAACGTGCCCACCAGTCCACCACCTGGCGCTGCGGCGGAATGCACACCGGGTCCAATTCGGGCCACAGAAGCTCCGCCAGGAAGCCACTGGAGGGGCTCACGTCACTGATGTCTGCCAGGTTGACAGGAGCCGTCGGAGCGGGTGCAGACTCCCTGCTGCTGGGGAAGCCGCCGCCCACGCCGCCCGGCACTGCTGCGCCCGGGTCGCCCCCTGCCCGGATGGATCGCTGAGGCTGCAGGTGGAGGGCGCGCTGGCGGGGCCGCTACTCCATGGGGAAAGCGAGGATGAGGCTGATGCCTACAAGGATGCCGTGGCGGCCATGGGCTCCTGATACGACAGCGAGCTGGAGAGGATAAGGTCCAGGTCCAGGAGATCACGGAACTCCCCCGCCTCCCTCCCGGGCAGGAAGGCCAGGCTGCGTCTGCAAACTCCACCACCCTCCAGGTTGGTGGCCNGCTATGGTTTTTCCAGTGTTCATGTATGGATGTGAGAGTTGGACTATAAAGAGGGCTGAGCACAGAAGAATTGATGCTTTTGAACTGTGGTGTTGGAGAACTCTTGGGAGTCCCTTGGACTGCAAGGAGATCCAACCAGTCCATCCTAAGGGAAATTGGTCCTGGGTGTTCACTGGAAGGACTGACGTTAAAGCTGAAACACCAGTATTTTGGCCACCTGATGCGAAGAGCTGACTCATTTGAAAAGATCCTGACGCAGGGAAAGATTGAAGGCAGGAGGAGAAGGGGACGACAGAGGATGAGATCGTTGGATGGCATCACTAACTCAATGGATATGAGTTTGAGTAAACTCCCAGAGTTGGTGATGGACAGGGAGGCCTGGCGTGCTGCAGTCCATGGGGTTGCAAAGAGTCGGACACGACTTGAGTGAACTGAACTGAAATTCTTAAGAGGGTGGAATTTCTATATTGAAGCATATACAAACTGTTGATGGATACTGCAAAACTGTCCTCCATAGAAGGCAATTTACACACAACAGTAACAATGCATAAGACTTCCTGTCTCCCAACACACTCCCATCAGGTTCCTTACAACTGCTGGGGACAGGTAACAGAAGCTACCTCAAAGAACTTTTATTCTGCTTTCCTCTGATTATTAGTGAGGTCAATCTTTCTTTCCTTCATTTAAAAATCATGCGTATTTCCAGGTGGCCAACAGACAAATGAAAAGATGCTCAGAATTATTAGATAAACGCAAATCAAAACTACAAGGTACTCCCTCACCCCTGGTCAGAATGGCCATCATTTTGAAAATCTACAAATAAATGCTGGAGAGGATATGGAGAAAAGGGAACCCTCCTCCCCTGCTGGTGGCAATGTAAGTTGGTGCAGCCACTGCGCAAACAGTATAAAGGTTCATCAGAAAACTGAAAGTAGAATTACGTATGATCCAGCAATTCATAGGCTGTATATTCCTAGACATACAACCAGCCAAGGTACATGTACTCCTGTGTTTACAGAAGCACTATTTACAAGAGCTGAGACATGGAAACAACCTAAACATCCCTCAAAAGATGAAGGGATAAATCAAGATGTGAGATACATACATATATATACACGTGTGTGTATACACATCATTAAAAAAGAATCAATTAATACCATTTGTAGCAACGTAGATCCAACTAGAGATTATCATGCTAAGTGAATTAGGTCAGAAAGAAAAAGACAAATTCCATATGATACCACTTCTATGTGGACTCTAAAATATGGCACAAATGAACCTATCTATTAAACAGTAACAGAATCACAGACATGGACCAAGGGTGAGGGGGTTGTGGGAGGAATGGAGCTGGAGGCGGAGGTCAGCAGAAGTAAGCTATTATATACGGAAGGGATAAACAACAAGGTCCTACTGTATAGCACAGAGGACTATATTCAATATCCTATGATTAACCATAACGGAGGAGAGTCTTTTTAAAATGTGTGTGTGTGTATATATATATACACACACACACATATATATGTGTAACTGAATCACTTTGCTGTATAGCAGAAATTAATACATTTAAATCAACTTTTTAAAATACTGATTAGAAATCATCAATATTTCTGTGGACAACCTAGTCACATCCTTTGTTCATTTTTCTCCTTGGTAGTAGAGCTGTCTGTAATTTACAGGAGCTCCTTATACATTAGGAAAACAAGTCCTTTGTCTGAATCTTGAAAAGATCCTCTCCACCTTGTAAGTTGTTTTTTCACTTTGCCTATGGTATTTCTACCAAGTATAAAGTTCATTTTTTGTTTTGTTTCAGCATTTCAAATTTAACACTTTTATTTCATGGCTTCTGGATTTTAAGTAAACAATTTTAAAAGCCCTCCCTTCTCCAAATTTCCAGAAAAAAGTAATCCAGGGTTTCTTGCAGTCATTATGTCACTTTTTACATTTAAATCTTTGATCCATTTGCCATTTACTCTAGTATAAAAACTGAGCTCTGGTACCATTTTTTTTCCTCCCAGACAATTTAATAACCCATATTCTCCAGTGTTTGAACAGCAGATTTATTAGAAACTAAATCCCCATTAAGTATTGACAGTAGATTCTGATTTTTACCCTGCTTGATTAACCTGTCTCTCCACAAACCCAGCTCTGTAGTATGTCTTAACATTTGATAAGGCAGTTAAAGGGAAAAGGCAGTTAGGCTAAAAACTATTAACGATAGTATTTATCACACACTCCACGGAACAAATACACAGTTACTCACCTTGCTGTGGGCATGAAACACAAAAGTTCAATCAAAAATTTACTACAACGCAGATGGGGTCCTGTTAGCACACCTGGCTTTCCAGGTGAAAAAGACAACAGAAGCAGAAACATCTCTGAATCCATGGCCAGTTCTGAGCCTTGCCTCCAGTGAAACAGGCAGGAAGGACACCACCAGGACAGGAGAGGCTGTCTGTGTGCGATTCCTAGTCCCCGGCCTCCCCTCAGCTGCCGCACACAGAGTGTGCAGAGCTGGCTGTTCTAGGGGCAGCCGTCCGTCCGGCCTGCTGTTAGAACAGTTTGCAGGAGCCAGTGCTTTACCCATCGCTCCTGGGGACAGTCCTCCCAGGCGACAGTGACCCGGCGAACGTGTCACAGTGCAAAGGCCGAGAACACAGCACGGGAACCTCAAACACTCTTCCCAAAGGTGAGGGCTCTCAGAATCACCCTACAGTCGTGTTACCGTTAAGATGAGTACAAACGCACCCCTGAAATGCAACGCCATTTAAAGAAGCTATAGAGTTGCCTGAGAACTTTGGAAAATAAGTTTCTGGAGTTCTTAAAGGTAGACACTATCTATTGGCAAGCCCCTCAAAATCAGCTAATGGCCAGTAAAGTAGAAGCACATTAAATGAACAGAGCACAGTGGCGTGCTAACTTGCTTCAGTCGTGTCAGACTCTATAGACCGTACAGTCAGACTCTATAGACCGTACAGTCTGACTCTACACCCTATAGAGTGTAGAGTGTATAAGACTCTATAGACTATAGCCTACCAGGCTGCTCTGTCCATGGGATTCTCCAAGCAAAAATACTGGAGTGGGTTGCCGTGCCCTCCTCCAAGGAATCTTCCCAACCCAGGGATCAAACCCTGCGTCTCTTACATCTCCTGCACTGGCAGGTACTTTCTTTACCATCAGCACCACCTGGGAAGCCCCGGTGTTCAGTGGCAGCACGTGTAATTTTCACTATAATTAAACTCCAAAATTAGATTTTTTAAATGTCACCATTATCCTTCTTTTTTTTTTCTCTTAAACTATTATCCTTAAAAAAATTCCCAAGAAGAAGAGAGCTATGAAAACATCCGCTCTTACCTTCCACATAAGGCCCCTCTTTTGGATGCTCACGGACTCTTAGATTGAAGGTTTTGGATGACTTCCGTCTAAGTAGATCTCTCACACGTTCATTATAAATTTCTAAGTAGCTAAAAATGTCAAACAGAGTTGAATTCAGTAAAATTACTTAAGGCACTAATAACAACAGCAGCAGCACCATACATTTACGGGAAGTAACTATGTATCAGGTACAGCACTTTACGGGGATTATTTCCTTTAACCCCTACAATAGCTCAAAGGAAGGTACTATCATCCTCATCTTACAGACTAGACAGTAGAGACTTGGGGTGATTTAAACAGCCTGTCCAAGACCTCACAGCCTCCAAGAGCTCAGGCAGCCAGGAGAATACCCTGATTGCCATATCTGCCCCCAAACCACTGACCAAACTGCCTCTCCACACAGATTTAAGTTCAAGGAGAGGGGGGAGAAAACACCTCAACCGCCCAGATTTATTTAAAGATCAGAATGACAGTGATCCAACCAACATAAAGAACAACACAAACCTTATTCAAATAAAAGAATAAGGCAAGTGGGCACACGCTGAAAGGTCAAAAGCTCGCTGCATCTGAGACGAGCATCACACATTAGTTTCAGGCCAGGCTGGGTTACCTCCACTAACCTCCGAAGCCCTCATCCAAATGGTACCCAAGGAGGTCACTGAACACACTTGTGCTTCGAGCTTGACTTCCACCCAGCAGGAGAGGGAAAGGCAGACTATCTTCTCAGGGATCCAAAGGCCTTCTCCATTCCTCACGCTTTGAATCCAGCTCACACACACTCACTCAAGCCACAAACCCTACCTGACTTCAGTTCGAAAAGACGCCTCATCCCATCTGGTGGTTTCGTTTATCTGACTGAAGAGCCCTTCACAGATCCGGGGTATTAAGCCAGAGTCACCCTGCAGTGGGAAAGAGGGGTGCCTCAGTTGTAACTTGAAATAAAAGCACCTGATGATTGCATCTGCAATGGGCTGGGGTGGACTTTAGACTCCAGGAGCCTACAGGCCCACCCCAGGGACCTGGGCACACCACTCACCCCTTCCAGGGCTGCTTCCTATCCTCTGAAATAAGAGGATTGAGCTTTGTAATTCCTACAGGCTGGGACCATAGTAATAGACAGTAGTCAGCTATCAATCAGCTAAATTGTGGCTTGCAAATATAAGATGTATTCTCTAGCTTTCAAACCAGAGAGTCTACTGCTGTAAAACAAATGTTAAAAAATTTGATCTGGTCAAAGGACAAAAAAAGCTGAAATACACGCTGGGCAGAAACCTTAGGAAGTCCTCAAAGAAGCTCTGTCTTACAAAGGAGGTGATGACCACATTGAAACATACAGACTGTGATGCACTAATTCCTACCCTGGCCTCCCCTCAACAGAAAGGTTTTAATACATCACATGTGATGTGGGTATAATTATAGTATTCATTTTTTGGTCGACACTGACAAGCTGACGAGCTTCAGAATGGTACCAAAGACAAGGAAAAATGCTCCTGTTAGGAGGCCAAACTCTGAGATTTCAATGTTTTCTTCTGAAATCTCTCTCTATTTGCACCTAATCTCCCATTCTCCTCACCCCCCCCAAAAAAAAAGAGATATATAAATATATATATATATATATATATATATATATACACACACATTTATATATATATCATCACAAGGTTTAGGAAAACTTTTTTTCCTTTATACCATTAAATCAGTGCAAATTTTTGTCAAAGAAAAATTGGCCCTTTCACCACTTTTTGTTCTTTAAAAAAATCAAATAAAAAAGAAATACCCAAATGGTACTCAATTGTAAGGTCAGAAAAAAACAGCCGTAACTTGTGAGTGCTTTGTAAATGCTGAACTTACATAAACTAGCTAAGAGAAAACCAACAAGCAAAAAAAAAAAAATTTTTTTCTTTCCTATTTTTTGGCCACACACCGCATGTGGTATCTCAGTTCCCTGACCAGGTATCACACCCATGCCCACTGCAATGGAAGCTCAGAGTCTTGACCACTGGGGAAGTCCCATAAATTTCATTTTTAGAGAAGGCTTTTTTCCCAGAGCACAGCAGGAAAGAAGGAAGGGTGGAGTAATGGTGAAAGGAAATGTGAAACTGTTGAAATCGTCTGTTCTTATTTTTCCCTACTTCTCAGGACTGAGGACTTGCAGCACTGCATTCACTTCTCCTACTGCAAAGACGCCGCCTGGGTTTAAGGAGCCAGGACACATGGGCTGAAAGGCTTTCATCCAGAAAGACCTATCCTCCTTTACTGCATTACTTCTCCCACGCATCACCAAACCTGCAGCATCTGGGCCACCTCTGAGCCTGCCGGCAGGAAGCCCAGCCAAGCTCTGCTAGGTGCTCGACTCTCAGAGTCAGTGAACAGTTTTCCAAACCGTGACATGAGAAACGTAAAACACAGGTCTGGAGAAAACACAGAATGGGATAAGGTTCTGCAATCACTCCCAGCTTCTCCTCTGCCATCTATTTTGGGGCACGTATAATTTTAATGTCCTTAATTTATATGGCGTGACTACTAAACTCTACACACTATGTTTATAACTGTGTAGATGCTATATAACCTGTGTAATTCTAACACTTTTCATGTATTCACTGGATTTATGCAGTGCCTTTCCACCAAGGAGATTCTTTTTTTTCTACATTTTTCTTGGGGAAAAATGTTTTGAATAATTTTAAAAAGAACAGAGTTCAGTAATTTTATTCAAACTGTTGGGTTGGCAGAAAAGAAGAATAAATTACTTGCGGGCCCAGCACACTTTTTTTTTTGATAAGATTATAAAGCCTTTAAAAACGGAAAATGAACTGAGACTCCCATCCATTATTCATGCTTATAAACTTAAAACTATTTCTAATTTTAAAATCTCTCAAAGGAAATTTCATCCCACTTATTACTGAGCTTTATCTTACTACTAAAGAATGATGAAAACACGAAAAGCACGTTTAGTACCAACCACGTAGACAAAAGGGACACTCTCATGAGTCCAAAGAGAAAATGAGAAATTTGCTTCCCACACAGTGTAAGCAACGTACAGAGTCTCCCATCATAGTGTATGACTTTCCTGATCCGGTCTGCCCGTATGCAAAGACACAAGCATTATAACCTTCAAACGCAGACTTCACGACATCTGTGCCAAGGGTTTTGAAAACCTGAAAGCAAAAAAAAGAAAAAAACCAAAAGATATAACTACCATGGATTTTAATAGAAGCCCCTTCAGTGCTGACAGTATTCTTGAATACCACTTTCATAGGATTATACCATGTAAAGAAATCACTGAAGAGCTGTTAACAACAGAATACATGTAGTCCAGTTTTTAATCAAAAAGAAACTTAACAAAGCAAAAAGCAATCTCATCCTTTTTCCCACTTAACAAAAGATTCCTAAAATATAAAAAGGCAAACAAGGCGAAGTGACAATCATGTACAGAAGCAGAGATGATTTTAAAGCATGATGACTTACCATCTCAGAATTAAATAAACTTATAAAGTGATTCATTCTATACCAGGGCTTCCAGAAACTAAATATTCAAAACCTGAAAATCACAGCAGCCAGAAGTTGTGGCCCAAACCATGCCAAATCAATGCCACTGTTTTAAGGATACGACTGTTCATCCGAGTCAGTGTCCGGAGGCTCTCAGGAGCCGAGTGACGGGTGGGTGTGGGTGAGGCTGGGTGATGGGCTCCCTCGAGTCAGAGTCCAGACGATTCTCCCTCTTTGGCTATTTTCCCAGGAAGATGGGCTCTGTGGGGCCTGGGACAGTGCCCACAGTCCTGAGTCCATGTCCACTGCACCCCACAACTGCAGTGGGACGCTCTGGGGAATGGAAGGGAGTGAAGGGCAAATGCTTGACCTACATGATCAATGGGAGTGAAGCAAACCGAGATGCCTCATCGCCCTCCTTATCCCAGCGAGGGAGGGGACCAGTCAAAGCTTTCTAACCCCTACCTGGCCTCTCGGACCAGAACACCTCCCTCCTTGAAAAACAAGTCACGTCAGCAGCTGGAGAGACAGCAGAGATGGGGGTGCGATCAGGTTCTCAGTCAGGGCAGGAAGACATGTGGGATGCACGCAGGCCGGGGCAGGATCCGCATCAGCCCCGCGGGAGCGCGGAGTCTCCGTAAGCGACCCGGGACCAGCCGACTCCAGAAACACCGCCTCCCCGTGGGGACCTGCGCCCTGCGGGCAGACCCCGCCCCGGACAGCCTGATGACCACCCACCGGGCAGACCCCGCCCCGGACGGCCTGATGACCACTGGGCAGACCCCGCCCCCGGACGACCTGATGACCACCGGGGAGACCCCACCCCCGACGGCCTGATGACCACCGGGCAGACCCCGCCCCCGACGGCCTGATGACCACCAGCACCTCTCTCCCCTCCCCACTTAAGCATCCCACTACCAACAGGAGCTGTCAGCCAGGATGCCTCCACCCCCTCATCCCGCCCTCCAGTTCAGGCTTCCTCTCCTCAGTCAGAGGTGTAGAGCCTGTCCCTTAGACCAAGCCATCTCCACGGAGGACCTCTCATTACCCTCCTTCACTCTGACTTGAGTTTCATCCACTTCTGCTTCAGGAACTGGCATTGTCTGATCTTTTTCTCACAGTCAACCTTCAACTGTGCTCGTGACCCACCCTTGGGGCAAGCAGTGTGGCCAGGTCCGCTGTTGGGGGACAGGCGAGGTGGCAGGCCACAGCGGCCGCAGGGCTGAGACCTACAGCCCCCTCCCCAGCCCTGGCCCGCACGCTGGCTGGCGCTCAGCATCGGCCTGGAGGCCCCAAGCCCACACGGAAGGCCTTCCCTCAACCCCTCCAAACACACATCCACACACACCTCCTTGAAGCAGCAGAACCAGGAATCCCACAGGGACCTTGGGCTCCCGACAAACCATCTGAGAGGTTGGTTTTCACAACCCAAACAGAATAGGAAGAAAACTGTAAATATTTATTTAATTCTTCTCGATTAGACAAAAAAAGAAATGACAGATTATCATTTTTAACACTTCACAGGGTGCCAGTAGAGAGGAAGAACAGCCTTCCAAAAGCTTCCCAAAGAATAAAGGAACAATCTCTCATACTTTTATCTGGGGCTAAACAAAGTCACAGAAAATACCATATTTAAACCAAACCCCAGGGACTTCCCTGGTGGTCCAGTGGTTAAGATTCCATGCTTCCACTGAAGGGGGCCAGGGTTCGATTCCTGGGCAGGGAACTCAGGTCCCACATGCCACAGGGTGTGGCCAAAATAATAACAATAATGAAAAACAAACCCCAAAGTTTTCAGGATGGAATTCTTCCCTTGGGTTAAAATCCACCCCTGCCACTTTACTCCTTGTTTATTCTCTAGAAAGCTACTCAGCTGGTGTTCCACCTGACTCAGGGGGCCTGGGGTAGGGCAGGGCTGGTGGATAGGACCCTGCAACTGGCACAGAAGAACGCAGGCCCCGGGGGCTGAGATGCAGGCCTGGCTCCATCTCAGCTCCAAGTCGGCTGGGGACCCGGAGAATCAGCGGGATGGTGCCCACACCTTGGGGCCCCCAGCAGGGAAACAGGCTCTGCATGGCAGCTCCCACCAAGGACTTGTCGGCCACGGTCCACCAACTGAGGTGGGGATGGAGGGGCCGCTGGATGGGCTGATGGGCTGCCCTCCCGGCCAGGGACCCGGAGACCCACCAGCTTGTCTGAGAGGCTGTAAAGCTGATTCCAGAGCAGAGGGAGACGCTGCAGGGCCTCGCTGGAGAGCAACTGCCCACTGGCGGGCACCGTGCGAACAAAAGACTCTCCATCCAGCTGTCAAGGGGGAGATTTTAGGTCTCAAGTTTCTCTGGGGTCGAATCAAGGAACGGGCAAGCGTGAGAGCAGAGCCTCCCTTTGGAGCTGGAAGGACCATTAAGAAAATGAGACCTTACTTAAATGGTCTTTAATCAAGATGAGTATGGACTTTAACTGCTCACTGATTTTTTTTTCCTAAATTTAAAATTAATTTGGAAGGAAGAAATATTAACCATCATCTTACTTGGAATTTGTTTAACATTATGGGAAACCTGACTTGTACTACAGTAACAGGCATGATATACTGTCTCAAGGTGCCTTTACATTTTCATCATTTTTAAAGAGAAGAAAAAGACAAAGGGTGACCTCATGCTAAGCTGATGATCTTCCCCCTGTTTAGAGCAGGTGTGTGACCTGTCAGCTCAGCTCCTGGGCAGGATCTGCCAGCATGAAAACATGAGCCCACATAACACCAGCTAATAAAATCAGAGGTGAGGGAGATTGCCTTTTGAACAGAGTAGAAAATGGGTGTTTTCCCCAAAATGCCAAACTTATAGAAAAAGAGATCAGATTTGTCATTACAGGTGGGAAGCAGGGAAGGGAGGAACTGGAAGAAGTTGGACAAGAGGTACAGCTCTGCAGTTATTAGAGAAATAAATACTAAGGATGCAATATAAAAGTGATGACTACAGTTAACACTGCCGCACAGTATACAGTAAAGTTGTTAAGAGAGTAGATCTTAAGAGTTGTCATCACAAGGAGAATTTTTTCTTTTTCTTTTCCTTGTATCTATACGAGAAGATGGATGTCAGCTGAACCTACTGTGTCATCATTTCACAAGATATATAAAGCAAACCACCATGCTGTATACCTTAAATTCACATGGTGATGTATGCCAATTACTTCTCAACAAAACTGGGGGAAAAAATGCAAAATATAGGTATTTTCCTATATCTCTGCTGCTTCTAGTAACATGTGGTTCTACGAGAAAGCAGCGTTCACTCACATATCTCAAAGGTTTTATCAGTTTTGAAGTGAGCATAAATAACCTGAGACCGTTCAGAGTCAAGGAACCCAAACGGCTGAAGCTCAGTCCGGAAGCTGGGAAGTGTGCTCCTGGAGCACACTATGGAGAAGACTCTCCATAGTCTCACGATTTTTAACTCTGGGAAGGTATTTTTGCCTCCTGTTATTGCTTCCCTGACCTTAACTCTCACTGAACCCAGGAACTGCCACCTGTTCCCATAAACGGACCACCAACCGCAGATGAGGCTTCCCGGTCAGCAAACGCGTGCTGGGCACCTCCCAGGGCCAGGGCCCGCCACCCACGCCACCACTCCCACGCCTGGGCCTTCCCTCAGCACAATCCCTGTCCCCAGCGGCCGCAAACCCAGGTTCAAGGCGGGGAAAGCCAGCCACTAGCCGCTAAGTCAGGAGGGAAGCCTTCGTGGTACTTCCTTCATCCTCTGGTGAAGACTCTCTAAGGAGCGGGGGAGGAACCAGCTTTCCCCTTAAACTCTCTCACACCGGTCTCCTCACCCCCATCCCTACACGGAAGCCCAAGTCCAGATTCCACTAGCCATAACATTCCGTTCTTCGCCAGACTCCTTGCTACCAACGTTGGTAAGTCCACTCATCTCAGGACCAAAGTTACCTTCATTCCCTCGCTGCCCATTTCCTCACTCAACTGGGCGGCCCTGCCCACCTGTCACTGAGGACACACCCACGCCTTCTCTCACACCACAGGGCCTTCCGGTGGCATCGCCACTGCCCTCAACAGCAGCCCTAGGATTTCAACTCCGCGGATTAGATCTGCAGACCTCCTCTAGTCCACTGAGTTACTTACCCTGAGTCTCTCTGACAAAGAAAAATGGAGGCACCGCTGACCTCGTTTGGTTCCTGAGGGGCTTAAACGAGGCAGCGGCCACGAGCACCCTGCAGTGTTTCCGAGTCCGGGGCAAATTCCAGCTACACGAGTCGCCCCTTCCTCTCCCTGCCCCTGCCTCATGCCAGGCACCTCCCCTCCCCTCACAGCCCCGTTCCTTCTGCCGTCGTCCTGTCGGTGTTTCCCTGATGGTGAATCGACATCTTCCAGGCACAACCCCTCCAGGCTCTTCCTTGGAACAACTTCTCCAAGTTCACAGCCCATCTTCACTCTAACCCAACACTTACGTTGCCGCAGAAAGCCGTCTCCACAAAACATTTCTAAACCAACTACGTTTCTCAGATGTTAAGGAGTATGCAAGTCATCTGGGGCTCTTCTAAAAATTCAGTTTGGTTCAGCAGGAATAGTCCCTGAAATTCTGCATTTCTAACACTTCCCCAAGCAATGCTGAGATTCCAGCATGTCCACCAGGGGACAAGAAACTCGACGATGATACCACTTTGAGATGCTACCACGTGGGTAGGACAGCCAGGTTGGGAATTCTATTAGGTTGGCTGGAATACATTCTTAAATAAATGTGGTTATGTTATATATCATTTTAATGCGCATTTCTCGCTTTATGTTTTTGCTTATGATTTATTACTTGCTGTGTATTTTATATTTATTTTAAACTATGGAAATGATGATAGACAAAAAGCAAATTCGAGTGATTTCCTTACTCAAGTTCAAAATGCGTCAAAAGGACCAGAGGACAACTCACAACATGAATAACACAGTTGGCCCAGGAACTGCTAACGGACGTACAATGCAGTGGTGTTTCAAGAAGTTTTGCAAAGGAGTGCCTTGAAGATGAGAAGTGCAGTGTCCAGCCATTGGAAGTTGACAATGACAGTGACAATTGAGAGTCATCATCAAAGCTGATCCTCTTACAACTACACGAGAAGTTGCCAAAGAACTCAACGTCAACCATCCCAGTCATTGAGCATTTGAGGCAACTTAGGTGAAAAAGCTCAGTAAGTGGGTGCCTCATGAGCTGACCAAAAATCTAAAAAAAAAGTTGTTCTGAAGTATCGTCTTCTCTTATTCTATGCAACAACGAGCTATTTCTCAATCAGATTGGGATGTGTAACGAAAAGTGGATTTTATACAACAACCAGCTCAGTGGTTGGACCATGAAGCTCCGAAGTACTTCCCAAAGCCAAACTCGCACCAAAAAAGGCCATGGTCACTGTTCAGTGGTCTGCTGCCGATCTGATCCACTACAGCTTTCTGAATCCCAGCAAAACCATGACATCTGAGAAGTATGCTCAGCAAATAGATGGCATGCACTGAAAACTGCAATGCCTGCATTCGACATTGGTGAACAGAACAATCCCAATTATTTTCCACGACAACGCCTGAGCACATGTCACATAACCAAACTTCAAAAGTTAAACAATTATGCTACAAAGCTTTGCCTCATCCGCCACATTCACCTGACTTCTCACCAACTTTCTACCGCTTCTTTGAGCATCTCAACAACTTTTTTTGCAGGGAAAATGCTTCCACAACCAGCAGGAGGCAGAAAATGTTTTCCAAGAGTTTGTTGAATCCTGAGCCACAGATTTTTAAGCTACAGGAATAAATAAACTTATTTCTTGTTGGAAAAAAATGTGTTGATTGTAATGGTTCTTATTTTGATTAATAAAGATGTGTTTGAGCCTCGTTACAATGATTTAAAATTCACGGTCCAAAACAGCAATAACGTTTGCACCAACTTTAATACCCTCAAGTCCTCAGTTTAACACCTCAAGACCTGAAGCTACATCTCAAAAACAGCTGTTAACAAGCCAGGAAGAAGCCCAGAGATGCAACCAGTTTCTCCCACAACACTGTGCTTCCCTAGGACCCCACGTTGCTCTGAGACCCTGCTTGTCCCACCCAAGGAAATACACAAGTCCTTCACGTGACACATCATCACATGATGGTCCCTGGAGACCCTTCGGGTCTGTTCTTATCTGCCAATGTCAGGTCTACATTTCAGATCACAAAAGTCCACAGCACAGGTTTCCTGGACAAACCCCACCTTCATTCTATGTTCCACAAAGATTCTGGGCAAAATGATCTTTCTTTCTAGAATCCTTCTTTCTGGAACCTACAATGGCGCACCCAAGAAGGGGAAATGTGACTTGAGTTTGAAGTCTACATCCTACAGCTCTGCATCTGGGTAGGACTCAAGGTCAAATGAGCAATCTGCCAGGCTTAGCAGTACACACAAGCAGACCTCAAAGACACTGCAATCCAGTTCAGATCACCGCAACAAACCCACAACTGCAGTAAAGCTAGGCTCACAAATGTTTTGGTTCCCTGTGCAAATAGAAGTTATGTTTATATTATATTGTAGTCTATTAAGTATGTGGTAGCATTATATCTAAAAAGAATATTACACATACTTTAATTAAAAAATGTTTTCTTACTAAAAAATACTAACCATCATCTGAGCCTTCAACAAGTCATTATCTTGTTGCAAGAGTAACATGACAATCACTGGTCAAATATGATAATAACGGAAGAAGTCTGAAATATCACGAGGATTACCAAAACGGAACACAGAGACACCAAGCGAACAAATGCTGCTGGAAAAACGACACGAACTCACTTACACAAGGTGGCCACAACCTTCAATTTACAAAACAGAGTATCTACAAAGTGTAATAAACCAAAGCACAGTAAAATAAAGATGTCTATAAACGTCCCCCTCAAAATGCTCTATTTGCAGAGCTCCTTTGAAACTGTAGTCACGGCCAAGTTTTGAAACAAAAACTATGATCATGCTCAGAAGTGGGAAAAGCACTCCACCTTTGGGGGATGGAATTTATCTCAGGCCTAAGAGAAATGGTGCTACGTAACAACCAAAAAGCTAAGTTAGCAAAGACTAATTTTATATAAATCATATCCAGAAAAAAAAACATTAGCAAGGCTTTTTAAAGAGTTTTAGGGTAGGCATGTTTTTCTCAACATGAAAATAAACCAAAAGAGAGATTTTTGAAAACATCATACCATTTCTTGAGAAACATAATCAGGACTTTCTGTATCAGCAGAATAAAAAGAAAAGTCGTAGGTGAAGGTCTTGGTCCGTTCTCTTCCCGAGTCCCCAGTCCCACCTTCTGGTATCTAGAGAGAGAAGATTGTGATAATAGCAATAACAATGCAACAGAAAAACCATGATAATGTAAAGAATACTGTTAGTTGACAAGTAATCCACCCAATTCAAGGGAAAAAAAAAATTTGTAAAAAGTTCACAACAATCACCATTATGCATTATTTATACCCTGACTCAAATCCATTTAATTCATCCTGACCACTTTCTCAAGGAAGGAAGGAAGGAAGAAGAAAGCAAACATAAACTCCTCCCAGCCTCCTATTCAGGCTCTCTACAATATGACCCAAGGCTACCTTTTCTGGACTTTTTATCATGATTACCTTATATGAACCTGACACTCCGGCCAAAGCTAGAGTCTGTACAACTCCGGGGGTGCTGCTCACACAGATGACAATGTGAGAACAGATGTGTGATCTACTGGCCCCACTAAAAACTCCAAGTCAGACGATGCCTCTTCCATAAGGCTCCCCTTGGCACTCCAGAAGTAATTTCTCCCACCTCTGAGAGATGAGCCTCTCCCAAGACACATCACATTATGAGTCTATTGCATAAGTTTGCATACATCTCATCTACCTTGCTATATACCAAAACTGAACAAAAAAATCATGTCGTACATCTTCATATGCCACCAATGCCTCACACAGCTCCCTGGATATGTGCTAAACAAAATTTAATCGGTATCATATTTGCCAACATAATTCAGATACTACACTATGTCTCCTTTTCATCATAGGGGACTGGAATGCAAAAGTAGGTGACAAGAGACATCTGGAGCAACAGGCAAGTTTGGCCTTGGAGTGAAAAAAAAAAAAAGGAAGCAGGGGAAAGGCAAACAGAGCTTTACCAAGAGACTGCATGGATCACAGCAACACCCTCTTCCAGCACAAGAGAAGACTCTACACGTGGATATCGCCAGATACTCAATACCGAAATCAGACTGATTATATTCTCTGCAGCCTAAGATGGAGAAGCTCCATACAGTCAGCAAAAACAAGACCAGGAGCTGACTGCTCCTCAGATCATGAACTCCTTATTGCAAAATTTAGACTTAAACTGAAGCAAGTAGGGAAAACCATTAAGCCATTCAGATATGACCTAAATAAAACCTTTTATGATTATACAGTGGAAGTGACAAATAGATTCAAGGGATTAGATCTGATAGACAGAGCGCCTGAAGAACCATACAGAGGTTCATAACACTGTACAGGAGGTGGTGATCAAAACCATCCCCAAGAAAAAGGAATGCAAAAGGGCAACATGTCTGTCTGAGGAGGCCTTACAAATAGCTGAGAAGAGAACCAAAAGGCAAAGGAGAAAAGGAAAGATACACCCATCTGAATGCAGAGTCCCAAAGGAGGTAAGGAGAGATAAGAAAGCCTTCCTAAGTGAACAATGCAAAGAAATACAGGAAAACAATAGAATGGGAAATGCTAGAGATCTCTTCAAGAAAATTAGAGATACCAAG